CAAAGCATTTAACAAAAACAAGCGCCTTTCCCCAAGAGCCTCAGCCTCCACTTGATCAATGATTCTGCAGCACTGAATCATTTTTAATTTAATGCTTCTGGGAAGTGAGGGGGGAACCCATCAACGGCAGGCACAGTTGGCAAGAACTAGGGATTAGCATTTGGCAGCATTTATTATTATTGCTGTTTATGATGGCATAAATTAGGTTTATGCTGATATAATTAATAACCCTAAATTTAGGAATAATAAATAGTGGTATTTATTCGGAATTGCGATGTCTGAGGAAGGCGAGCAGCTCTGCCTGTGCGCAGGCTGCGGTGGGACTTGGGGTGGGAGCCGGGAGCCCTGGGGAATGTGCGCCCCAACTCTCTGCCCCGCACTATGCAGCATTTAACACTATGCAAATGGCTTAGCAGCAGGACCATAAGAGTTCCCAGAGCAAATAATGTTCACTGTGATCTCTGCAAACAAGTTCATCAGCAAGACTGAGTGGGCCTCACTGCCCTCCAAAGCCAGGCCCCTCGAATGTCCTCGCAGCCCCAGTGACCCCTGTGGTGGGCGGCGGCACCCAGAGCTCCTGAGCACAGAGACAGGCAGACCTCGACTGACATTTTCATCCAACAGCCGACCTTTGCCCCAGGTCCACAAATTTAAATTATCCAAAAAACAAATGAAGTAAAAATATCCATTGGAGGATAACTCGTATCTGTTCCTCCAACCACTACCAAAACAGCTAAATGAGCTAAGTTTGTGAAGTACATAATGGGAGTTTGCATTCACTTGTGGACAATATGACAGGCCATGGAGCACATTCCTCTGATGGGCTTTGCAGCGTGTGATCAGCGAAGCCTTCAGAGACAGAGACAGGGACACAGGTGCCTTGCTGAATGTGTGTGTCGGGGGAGACAGGTCTGCTGGGAGGTCTGACAGCTGGTCTCCCTCGGCCAGCCATGCTCAGTCTCCCTCGTTGTTCCTGCCCCTCCTTCTCCCCACCACCCCCGCCCCGAACAGGGAAGATGTGTTTAGGTTATCTAGACAACTTCTCACTGCATCCAAGCCATTGCCCCTGTGTACTGACCTTTTTTTTTTTTTCATATAGAAATTGGACAAAGGAAGACCTCCATTCAGTGGGCCACAGTTAGGGTTAGCTAAGAAAACACATGTGCAAGAACTAACTTCCTGTATGTCCTATAAAAGGTGCTGAGTACACTGTTTAGATGGAGTCTGTGAGTGCTCTCTTAGACGACAATAAAGCCTTCACAGCCCACCATGGAGTAAAAGACTATTGGCTCTGACTGTAAATGCTTCCAAACAGTTAAAATTGTAAGGTTTTAAAATCTCATTTTCAGAGATTCATTTGTTTCCACTGGAACATTCAGCTCTGACTTCCTAATACCTTGGTGTGTTTACATAGATAGAGTATGTACGCCCTTTGCTCTTTACTGTTCTTTGTTTCTATTGCACAACAGCCCTGGGAAAAGATAGTCCAGTTTGTAAAATTGTACATATACTAAGAATTAATACACTCTGATTCTCCTGGGAATATATTGGGCTGTGCGCTGCCTTTACGAAAGTTATTTTGTCACCACAGTGCACCCTACAAGCAAAGTCCAAATCCTGGGGAAAAGGCGGGATTGCTTTCTCTCCCTCACTTACATGCAGTGTCTACCTTTTATTGAGCAGTTCTGGGAAAACCCGCCTTCTCCCCACTCCACACTCCAATCAACCCACTCTGCTCTAACCTAATTTACCCAGCGTCTGAAAGAACTGGGAGTCCAGGGACCACTGCACTGCTTCTCCCACTGACAGCCCAGCCCAGCTCAAGACAAACGGCCAGGCTTGCAACATGGAAGGCTGTTTCTTTTGGAAACCATCTTTGTGTTTTATTTTCCTGTTATAGACATGTGTTGCTAAGAGATCTTTGGCTTGGCAAGACCCACTGTATTTTTGCTAGAAGATCCTGGCCTGCTCTCCCTGACCACTATTAGCAAAAACCTCCCTGGTGTCCTTAGAGGCCCCATTACCATCACTGCAAAGAGAAGGCCTACACTTCTACACATCTTCGCAAATTCCACAAAGGCCCACAATTACTTGTGAAAGAAAAGGTCAGTCTAGTTCCTTAAGGGACCATTTAAAGTTTTGGCTCTGGAATCTTTATGCAAAAATTGCCTCTTTGCTGGTCAGACCACATACAAGGCAATTTTGTTACCTTTAAGAAGCCTATTACTAGGAACGAGTCCAGAGAAAAATCAATCAAGGTCAGACCAACATTCTAACCTTCTGAACATGAGACACAATATCACATGAGCAACGCTGAGGAAAATAGCATCAAATGTGGAGTGGACTTCACATGGGGAAGCCAAGGCAAGTGAAGGAAGGGTTAGGTCTTATCTGTGGGCACTCTCAGCTGAGACTGCCTACCATGCACAAAGCCCCCAGGCCAAAGATCAAAACCAGAAAAAACACAAGTCCACCTAATTATGCCCCACAGGCAGGGCATGCCCTGAAACAGAACAATACTCACAGGAAGAGTTCAAGTGGAAGTTACACAAAACCACACGTCAGGTGGGTCATAAGAAGAGTTCATGAGCAGAGACCACGACTCCCCTTTACTGGGCGATGTCAGGCACCCGTGGAAGTCTCCAGGAGATGACGTGCCATGGCCTCTGGATTTTCCTGTCTGCAGAAGAACACGAGGATTTCCAAGCCCCTTTTAGCCAAAACTGTGTGGGAGGTCTGAGTGCCCTACCAAGTGCCTTGAGGCTGTCCAAGGAAACATGCTCCATAAATGAAACGGGTGACTTCAGTCCTCATCAGCAGATGAAGGGCAGAGTCACTGAGAAGAAGCTGGCCATCCAGCAGGGAGTCCAAAGCAACCAGCTGTGAGCTGAAAACACTGTGTCCAAGCCAGGACGGTGCTCAGTGACTGAGACCATAGCCTTGGATCAAAACCTCTGGTTTGGGGGCGTGAGCACTGGAAAAGGAAGAAAGAGCAATGCTCACCCCTGAGCTTGAAGACTGACCTGGGCCTACAAGACCTCTTCCCCAGACAGGTCAACACGGAGGGTGCGAGCATCCTCTTGCCACAGAAGAGGAAACTGTAGGTCATGGGAAGATCCCAAATTCCAAATGAGAGTTATGACTCACACCCGAGCACTCTTTACCTTGTCTACCAGCCCCTAAACGATTTCATGGAAGGAGGAACTTCAGGAAAGAGCCAACTTGGAGGAAAACACGTTGAAACAGACCATGTCTCTCAACACACCTTACTTAGCTGCTTTCCATCCACGCAAGCCAAGAAGGCATGCTGTGGGCCCTCCCTGGGCCCTGGAGCAGGAAGCAGCCCTGCAGGGGTGTTCCAGGGCGGCTCTTGGGAGCTGGAGGAGCACATGGCGGCTGAGTTCTGTTGGGCCAGGAGGGCACACCCTGCAGCTTCAGGGCTAAGAAGCCTCATTGCTGCCGGAGGCCAGAATGGCGCTCCCTCCCATTGACCCACTGCCTTCATGAGCTCACAGACCAGTCACTGCAGCAAAGGGGAAGGTCCCTGCTCTCTGTCCACAGACTCCCTGCACCTAAACAAGTGGGGCCTGGGGGCGACGGGCTCAGGAAGCTTGTTAGGAACACACACTTACCCTGCTTATCTACATTCTTGGTTGCTTTTTAGATCTATTAAAATTTTAATTTTACAGTGTAGAGCTTGGACTTGTACTTTGGCATTGTTTCACATGTTTTATCCTTTGCAGTTTATTCTGATCCTCATTTTATATATTATCATCTTTGTATTGTTAACCTTTTTAACTTAACAATGTTCTTTGTGCTTATCCTTTAAAGCTAGTCTATCCTCAGTTGTTTAACATTTATTTGGCTTTCTTCTTCTTAAAAAATGACTGTTTTATCTTTCTTGAAACATTCTCTTAGTTATTTTAAGTCATTTTAATTTTATCTCATAGAAATGTAGTTATTATTGTTCATATTTCTTTGTAACTCTCATTTCTTCTGATTAACCTTTTTAGTAGTGCTGTGTTTTCTGGGTTTTCTAAACTTGTGCCTTAGCTTCTTTACTGGAAATATTATAAATTGCAGATCCTTTTTCAATTTTAGCTTTTGCAATGATTTTTCTTTCAATTTTTGTTTACCATAGGACACCAATTCCCATTCCTGTAGTAAAAATAAAAATCGTCTACTTCCTATAGGAAGGGGCTTTTGCCTCTTTTCAGCAAGTCTGAGACGACTGTTTGTGAATGTGACTCCTGCCGCCCCGACCCACTGGCCGTGTGACCTTGGCTGTGGGACATGAAGGGGCCTCTCTGACTCTAGGCCTCAGGTCTCAGACCCTGAACCTGGACCCGTTTACACCGACCTCATCCGATGCTGGGCTCCGTGTCCGCCATGGCCCGCCCCGCAGGCAGGGAGCGCAGGGGCAGGGGTGGTGCTGCCCCAGCCTTCTCTCGCCCAGCCAACCATTTCTCGTGATTTCCCTCTTGACCATCCCACAGCCATTTTCATCCCCTTCAGCCTTTCCACGTAGAGAATGGGACTCCTGTTTCACAGCCGTACCCGAATCCCATAAGACACCCTGAGAACAAAGATGTCTCTGCAGCAAACACGGCAAGTAAATGAAAGCACTGTCCTAACTGCGAGAATATGTCACAGTTTGAGCTCTGACTCTGCACTCACCCACCATGGGAGCTGGACAAGTGACTTCATTGCCCTGGACACCAATTTTCTCCTTTTTAATAGGAGAGCATTGAACTACATTATTTCGAAGGACCCCTCTGGTATTTACTGCCTATGAATCCACACCTTTCTATTAAAAAAGGTATGAGACCAACATCAATGAAAGTACATTGTTTCTGGTACCAATGAACAAGCCCAAGAGATCTTTTTCCTGCCAGACTGCAGAGGCCTCTCCAATCACAGCCCTCTCCTGGTACGTCGGAACGGCCATGCGTTACTATGGCAACATAAATGCACTTCGATCGGGCAGGTAGCCAACATACTTGCCATTGATGACACCATCAGGGTTGAGCATGGGGATGATCTTGAAAATGAAGTTTTCCCTCAAGAGCCTGGCCACAGGGTCACTGCTGACCAGGAACTCCAAGGCCCCCTTCATCACCCAACTGGAATTGCTTTCGCCTGGGTGAACGCGGGCAGTGATCACCTGGTATGGACGCTGCCCTGTTGAAACAAGACAAAGAGAAATTGCACCTAAATATCCTTTCCACTCCCACCTGGAGAACCTCCAATTACACTGGACCGGCATGAAGTCTGAAACAGGCCGACTGTTTCTAATGCACCACTGATCTGCATTTATGCGTTTGCTACCTGCTCCCGTGGTCTACGAGACTGAAGAGCATGTGACGCTAAAGCTCAAGGCTGTTGTGCAAAACACAAGTACTTAGAGGCACAAAAAGAAGCCAAGCAGCAGGCTTAGCAAGACCACAAAGAATAAAGAACTCTCTGGAGCCTAACAGCAAGAGGCTGGTGATCCTCATCCCTGTCAGTGGAGACACGCAGACAAATGACTTGATTTCTCTGAGGCTATTTTATCACCTATAAAATGGGGACAATCACACCGACCTTGTGTGGTTGTTACAAAAACAGACGGATGGAACAGAAAGCCCGGGCACACTGGTTGCCATTCAGCACACAGCTCTGGGGAAGATGGCCCCCCTCGCTCCTCGGTGGAACTGAGTTAAGTACACGGCGTGTTTTGGGCAGTTATGACGATAGGACACTGAACCCAGCCCTTGAGAGAGATTCGACATAAGAGTGAAGCACCTGGAAGCTCCATCTTAGGTCGTCATACTTTCTTCCGTTTGCAAAGGGACTGGCGGACACGCTCTCCGCCCAGTCAGGGCGTAGTAACCTGAGTAGACCTTATAGAGGTGCACTGGTGAGAGGAGGAGAGACTCCCTTCCTCTGCTGACGAAAAATGTCTAGAGCACCTCAGAGTTGAGACATATTCTGAAACCACCTCTGGGGTCAGGTGGAGAACGTGTTTTGGTTGATTAGTGATGTTGGTCACCACACACCTGGAGAAGTGGGGGTGGCGGGGGGGATGTGGCCTCATACCAGCCATTTGCTGTGTCTGCTTAACCCCTAGTTCGAGTGTATGTCCGTGGTTTTCTGTTCCAACTCTTTTCTTTTTGTACCCTCACCCAATTCCTTAGCACTCCTAACCCCACCTGATGACAAGAACTAAGTATTTGCCAAGTATAAATACTCCAGTCATTTAAACAGCCTAAAAGTTACACCAGTCATTTATTTCCATATGATTCAAACTACTGTGACTTGAACATGGCTTTTCTTCCCTTAATCAGTTGCCTTTTTGAGGAAACAAACTGTCTCTAATTCTATGTAAAAAAAGACAAAACTGAAGAACTCCCAATAAGAGATTTTAAAGAACAAGTAATGGAAGATACAAAGAAATAAACTTTTAAATAGTATTATCAAATTACATGGCTATTATCAATCAAGACAAAAACACCCTGTCTGTGTACAACCACCGAGATATTGTAGGTTTAAGGGGCACAGAGCAGTGCCTTTTCACCATGTCAAGAGCAGGTATCTTCAGCCCCTTGTGGATTATTTACGCATTGGGGATAACATTCAGCTGTGTTTTTCCTTAAGCAGATGTCTTGAGCATATTCCAGGAATGGCAGGAGGCACTGAGTAGAAAGAAACAGTCGAGTAGAAATTAAAGTTCTTATTCTGTACGAGGCCACAGTACTTGTCAGCTGTGACCAACACGCAGTCATATAATGGCAAGTGAGCTGACGGAGGGTATGTACGGTGCCCACAACAGGGAAGAACATTTCCAGAGATGCGATGCCGTTGGGACTGGGCCTTGAGGGACAAGTATCATATCACCAGAGACAGAAGGGAAGAAAGGGGTCTTCTAAGCTGTGGAAAAGATGCAGGCAAGGAAATCAGAGGGGTGAACGTCGGTGCGTGCAAGAATAAAGAAGAGCGATGTGTGGCTGAAGCAAAGGACTGAGGAGGGTGGCACAGGAGTTCACAAAGGCAGATGGATGTTACACTGGTGCGATTCTTCTATATTTATATATACTTTTTCTTTTAGGGCCCTGGACTTTATAGATCAGAAGCTCTCAACCATAGAGTCAGCATCTCTTCAGAAAGCTGTGATTAGTAATGAGTTATTACTATTGAATAACCATCAGCTACTAATAAAAATATAAATGTTTGCCTGTAATATAAATGTATACATTTATCATACATACATACAGTAGTCCCCCCCCATTTGCAATTTCGATTTCCATGGCTCAGATACTGGCGGTCAACCATGGCCCAAAAATATTAGGAGGAAAATTCCAGAAATAAGCAATTTATACGCTTAGACTGCATGCCATTCTGAGGAGCACGATGAAGTCTCGTGTGGCCCCACTCCATTCCCCCTGCACGTCAATCATCCCTTTGCCTGGCGTCCCCACGCTGCACACACTCCCTGCTCAGTGGTCACTTAGTAAGGGTCTCGGTTATCAGATCGACTGTCATGGTACTGTGGTGCCTGAGCGCAGGTCACCCTTATTTATTTCATAATGGCCCCAAAGCGCACGTGCAATGATGCTGGCAAGTTGGATACACCACAGAGAAGCTTGAAAGTGTTTCCTTTAAGGTAAAATATAAGTACAGGACAATCCTTTGAGAGAAAGACCATCTTCACATAACTTTTATTACAGGATATTGTTATAATTGTGCTATCTTATTAGTTGTTAATTTCTTGGTGTGCATACTTTACAAACTCTATCACAGGTACATAAGGTAGGAAAAGCATAGCACGCACAGAGTTCAGTATTATCTGTGATTTCAGGTACCCACTGGGGGGCGGTCTTGGAACATGTCTCCCATGGATTCGCCGGAGCACAACTGTACATGCTGACCAGGTTTCACGTCATCCCTGCAACAATGGTACCGTGAACAGCATGCATGCAGGTGTGCCTTCTGGACTGGGGAGAGAAGAGTAAAGGAGAGACTTCTAATGAGAGTTCTTGATATGGGTGCCCTGAAAAAGAACAGCAGAGAACCACTACTTTCAGAAATACAGTCAATAATAATTTTTCAGCAGAAAAAACACACACCAAAGACTGCTTCTGAAAAATGACTCTGACATCACTGTTCATAAGCCATTTGTCTGATCGGAGACAGTGTGGCCTGATGAAGTGGAGAACAACTTTCAGAGTTCAGAGCCCTGTTTCCAGGGCTCCAGTTCCAGCCCCACCCCTCCCACCTGAGATGAAAGGGACGTGTTTCCAAAGAAGCTGTGTATTGAACTGGGTGCTCTTCACGCAAAACTAGTGATTTCGCTAACTGAAACTACTAGACAAGCATGTTGGGGTGGGGGAGACACACAGTCAGCTGGCTGAGCACAGTTGAAGCTAACCGAAGGTCAGCTTTCCCACTCTCTCGTTTGCCCACAATCCCCTGCAACGCCTTCCGAAGCAAGCTGCATGGGCACTCCAACAAGAAGCCTGTTGAGAATAAAGAGGCTTGATGAATTTGTGCCCAATCAGTAGCCTATTTTTGGTTCTATAATTCCATATCCCTCGCTCTTGGTGGTTTTTGAACTATGTTCATTCACAGCACATTGAACAACAATAGTAAGTGCTCCCCGCCCAGCAAGAAGAAATAAAAAATAGCTTAAGCTCTTGTAAATTTTCAGTACAACTGACCGCTCTCATTGTTTGCACCATTTGCCTCCCAGTGCATTAGTCAATAAGCCAAATGCTGCCCTTGCAAATAGACAGCAACAATTATCCCTCCTTTGGAGGCTCAGGTCAGTAATCTGCTCCATTGTAGTGCACTGCAAGACCTGACCGGCTCTTCGCAGGTCTTGAAGAAGCAAAGGAAGAAAAACCATGGGTTCTCACGAAGGTACAAGCAGCATTTTAGCCATTTCTAGTTGATTTTCCTCTCTTCCTCTCTTTGATTTAAGCCAATTTTGCGGTCATAGCGGTGAGTTAAGCTTATGGGACCGTTCAGTTGTAGCAGGAAACGGTGCCCCAGAGAACCCCTAACACACAACAGCTGTAAATAGTGTGCAGCACACATACCATATGGTTTTTTTTCCTGGTAATTGACAGTTTCAGTTTTAATAACTCATCTCTGCTTAGGGTTGGATAAAATGTGTCAGGCATCTGCATTTTTTTCTCTGCAACTGATAAAATATATTTCAGAGGCCACCAAAATCTATGTCAGAGTCATGGTTTGGCAATATTCTCATTCTTTTTTGAAAATATGCCAATGCTTAAAGCTGAGTATTGAATTTATGTTCATGGTAATGAGATCTCTGAAAAGAGGTTAGAAATAGGCAGAGGGCTTCGGAAAGCCTAAGGGAGACTAGGCTCTGGGCCAGAGGAGAACTGAGTGAGAACTGGGGACACAGGCAATGACACCCATGTGTACCGACTCTACAAACATCCATTCATTTCTTCCAACAACATACATTAAGCTCCTACTGGCACTCGGCAAGGCTCTGGAGATTCCAAGAGAAGTAACAGTCTTTGCCCTCAGGGAACTAATAATCGCCTGGTGGGAAAGGCAGACGCAGAGATAATTATGGTCCCATGTGATCAGGGACATCCATCAAGACAGTTTCCAAGCACAGTGGAACACTCATTAGGAAATTATTTTCATTAACGTGAGAAACTGGAAATGGCTTAAATGTGTAACCACAGGAAACCAGTGAAGGCAATGATACATAAAATAGAATATTATGCAATCGTTAAAAATAGCACCTAGCTCTCCTTCTGTTGACATAAGGACGAGGGGAGAAAACCCAGCAACGGTTGCGTCACAGAAGGACCCCACGTGCGTGTGGCTGTATCCCTTCCTCACAGCATCTAAACACAAAGATAGCTCCGTGCCGGGGGGTCATCTGGGTAATATTTGTGTCTTCTTTATCCCTATCTAGGATGCTTGCCAATTCAGAAAATAATAACCGTAAGTCAGTGTCCCTAGAGGCACACAGTTGCAAGTAGCAATAAACCACAGAAGAGAAAAAGGGAAAAAAATGAATCTTCATAGAAGAAATGATACCAGATCTGTTTCAACCAGTTCAAGAGTTTGCTGAGGAAGAAGAGAAAGGAGGGAGGTGACCAAAAAGACTAGGTGTATTTTGGGAACTAATGAGGTCATAAGGCCAAGTGACTTCCTGT